GGTGAAGAAAATGATTTAGAAGACGTTAATGGTAATCTAACAACCAATCTATATGATAAACATGATGACTTTCACTTTTTCTTTCGCCAGCTTCCCTTACTTATGCAGCAATATACCTTCATCACTTGCATACAGAGTGTATATATCTCAGTTGATTCGATATGCAAGAGCATGTTGTACATGTCAAGAGTTTCTAAAATGAGTTGAATCATTGACAAGCAAGTTGATGAAACAAGATTATCAGGCAATGGTCGGTACAATGATTTTTTCAGCAAATAATTTGATTGTTAATCCATGAGTTACATCCCGTCTGGATTACAGAAATGCTTTACTTGTTAGAATTAACAAAGCTTCAACGTGTACAAAATACGGTTGCGCGCATAATAACATTATTAAAGTTGAAATATGACCATTTAACTAATGCCCTGATCAACCTACAATGGCTGCCGGTAGAGTTTCGTTGCCAATTCATGACTCTTGCTTATGCATTCAAAGGACTCCACGGACAAGCTCCAACGTATAGTAGCGAATTAATCGAGCCGTACACACCTTCACGTACCCTACGCTCAGAATCAGCACATATTTTAGTGGTTCCGTCAACAAGGACAGTGACATATGGGAATAGACGATTATGGACCTCACTGCCTTTGTACATATAAAAGTGTGACTCCATTGGAACTTTTAAGAGTACAATCTTCGTAAAAGTAACATAATTTTAAAACATAAATATACGTTAAAAATAACAGGAATTGTATTTACAAAGGGCTGAGAAAACATGATTCGATACGGGGAAAGTTTTATAAAAGATAGAATTCAAGTACCACATGTTTAAAACACAATACTAGTTTTATATATGGAAACCACAATTATTTGAACAATCATGATTCGATATCGGCATGATATCGTGGATATTGACAGTAAGGAAGACTTCTTAAAACAGAATGTATTGTAATAAACACACAAGGATAGAGAAATATTACAGTAAACTATATAAAAGCAATATGTCGATATCGTAACTATATTGTGTCTTGGACATAACTCAGAAATTGGAAGCATTCTATAATATGCCGTGATCTAGATGATCATGAGTAACAAGAAAAGATGGAGTATTTTGTAAAGAATTTTTAACTATATAATAGGTTCCTTTCGAAAAAGTAAGGTGACTAATGAAATGTACAAATCAAGAAGAAGTCAAATGTTTCTTTAAAAACTATAAGCAAGTGGGGGAGATTGACACAGCAATTTTGATGTCTAATAAGTTTTGTTACTACTACACAAATATGTGTATTATGGTATTTAACGGGACGTATATATCATATATGCGAACTGTATTTTCTTTTAAATTGAAAAATTGTTAGAGAAAAAATCTTATTTCTATAATGTACAAAATAAATTCAAATTTTGTATTTAAAGAAACACCAAAGAATTAGACATTTTTAAGAAATCAAGAGCAGAGATTAGATGTCTTGCATGCTTTGTTACGCCTTAAATTACAAGCTGTTTGAAATTACTTATGGTGTTATTGTTGCAGGTCCTAAGAATGCATATTTGCCAGTCTTGAATTTTCACTTTTCCCCCTCAAGACAGAAGAATTAACCAATTCTCAGCTACTGATTTTACTTGGTTACACTGTGTTACATAATAACCATGGAAGTTATTTATAGAATAGTATTGCTTATTCCTATATACTTTAAGTCAAACATTTTCATTGTAATTCTTAAATAGTTGATTACGTTTAAGCATACATGTATATCACCTACCATTAGTGAATTCTGAGAGTTTTTCAGCATATTACATATTTCAGCATTTGAAAAGTATTCAAAATGTACCCGTGGTTACCACTTACTTAGAGATGCATTCTAAGCAGTTTCTTTACAGTATAAGTGGCACCAATTGTCATGCTTTTGTGAGAATGGTTTGTCTGCTTTTCCTAGTGTTTATTAAAACTAAGTAATGATTTAAAGAAACTAAAAATTTCAATTTTTCAAATTTTCCCTGTGTTACTATGCTGATGTTAAGTACTAGGAATGGTGAGATTTCATTTAAAATCGTTGACCATGAAAAGCAACGAAGTTTTAGTGGTTACAGAGAATGGATCTTAAAAAACGTTATAGTCATAGGTTACGTTATAGCGTTACACTGGTTGACCCAAGACGGACACTCAAATGAAATAGTCGTCCATTCCTTTTATACTGAAACAATCTGATTAAGAAAGCTATAAATAAATTTAGAAATATCAAAGCTTTCTGTCAATATATTATGAGAGATATAAGGGTACACACACACACCTGAAATGACAAATGATTTGGCAACTAAAAAATTGGTAAAAAAAAGGTGAAAACATTTCCATTTGACTATATATGATTTTGTTTCTTGTGTTATTATGTATCTAATGGTATTCAAAAGTACCTCAATCATATGTTTGTTTGACATTCCATTCATGAATTTGGGTCAACCCACTCTCCTAGAACCATCCACCTATCTATACATCTTCACATTTTTATAATGTCAAAAACACTGGTTTGAAAAAAACAAACAAACGGGGACTGGGAAGGGAAAATAGTGGGATTAAAAGGGCCGAGTGGATTTTCATTGGGCAATATTTCGAGCATCATAGTTGAATGAATCAGCGTATTTATTGTTTTAAAGATATTTGTCACTTAAATAAACAAACTGAAAAAAAAAATAACAGGTTGAAAAATTACTTTAGAATTTTATATAATTGCTTTCTAAAACGATTTTTAAAAAACAACATATAGAGATCAAGATAAGAATTCCCTAAATCAATACAAACTAGGATCATGTGTCATGGAGGAGTAAGCATCCCCTGCCTACCTTGTACATCTACCATGTGCTTGTTGTCGTTATTGGGAAATAACCGAAAAATCCCTCTTCAATTTAGTGTATAAAGAATGGACTAACGATTAATGCAATGTATGAGAAATGGCAGTCAACATTTGACGCAATGAGGAATTGTATTTGTTGACAAGTTCATTGTATCGACCATAGAACTAACAAAATAATGAATTTAAACGAGACTACTGATATTCTTGTTTCATCAAATCGTTTAAGAAATTGTTCTAACGTAGGGCATACTCTTGCGTATCGAATCTACTTTAATATATAAACTCAGTAAGATGAAGGTATATTGCTGCATAAGTAAGGGAATTTGACGATTGAAAAGTTAATATCATCACATTTATCAAGAGTTTGTTTGTTAGATCTGACCATTAACGTCTTTCAAGTAAAATATTCAAATATGAAATAGATCTATCAGACTGTGTTGTACCTTTTATCTCAAGCTCATCAGCAAATGCCGTGTCGTCATAAAAGTGGAAATTACCATTATTAATTGACAATATGTCGTCGATATATCTAAATATCGAGTTGAAGGCCACAACAAGTGTTTTCTTCTTTTCACATATAAGATTTTGGACAGTCTGCTTCATATGAATGAAGGATATGGAGATAACGAACAGTATTCAATCTCAAAGTCCATTAAACATTATACAAAATAAGAGCAGAGCAAATTCAGACCTTCAAAACATCAGAGGTGGGATCAGATGCCATATAGGAATAAGCATCCCCTGCCGACCGGTCACACCCGCTGTGTGCTCGTTGTCATGATCAGGAAATAACGGAAAAAATCCGTCGTCAATTCAGTGTATCAATGGATTAACAATTGGTATGAAAAACGTCAGTCAGCATTTGACTCAATGCTAAATTGTATTTGCTGACAAGGTCATTGTATCGACCATAGAACTTACGAAATGATGACTTTAAACGAGACTGTTGATATTCTTGTTCCAATGATTGTTGCTTGTCAATAATTTACCTCGTTTAAGAAAGTGTTCATACGTAGAGCATGCTCTTGAGCACAAAATAAATTCCACGCCTTATATGAATTATCATTTACTTTGTCTTCCATAAAACAATTTCAAACGTTGATAGACGTATTGATATAAAAAGACCAGCTAAGTTTTAATACAACAACTTTATCAATGCAAATATTTCAGTTGTTAGATTTAAAATGACAGAAAAATAAATAAAAGAAACAGGTCGAGAGACTGATAAAAAATGAAGTATCGTTGTTTTGGGGTATGATGTGATTTTTTGAGGTTTTATCTCATCCGTTAGGTTCCATGTCATTAATTTAATCGTAAATGTTGGAGTATTGAAAATTTAACAATTATAGTCTGATTAATTTGAATTTATTGATTCTATTGTTTTGAACTACACATGAATTCAGGAGTCACCATATAAATTTAATCTAGAATAGACTGGAAAAGTCAGAATTAATTTAATAATTGTTATATGCTTTAGGTGCTTGTGCTATATACATGCATATAAATGTATATTTTTGATTAATAGATGTACTTATGATTTAGGTATTGTTTAAATATTATAATGGATATACTGGGAATTTGTAATGGAAAATTATTTTATTTGATCTTCAGAAAGGGCATTGCTGCACAAACTTGACAGCTCTCTCTCTCTCTCCATCCCATGGTATCGATGGTATTATCTCATAATTTTCATCAGTTTTATGGTCAGATCCTAGACTGGTGTTTATTTGAATTTGTTATCCTTTTTAAATTGTTTCATGAGTTATAAATCAATGTCATTAATTTTTCACAAAACTTTACTACTGTCTTTAAACTTGTTTCATTGGTTCATTTATGAAATGTGGAGGAGTTGTCAAAGATGAGACGTGCGTGAGTTTGTTTGTACTTCACTCTCACTTAAGGAATTTTTGTGTAAAAGTGTAAACTTTGATTTTGTACTTTTGGACTTGAATAAATTCTAAACTTTAACCAGGAATTATTTTTTCAACATCGGAATTTATATTTTAAAACAATAAAACATTACACTTGGAAAATCCATTAATTAATTGTTTATGCAAATCACGGTTAAAATTTTACACATATTAAATCAGAATGCTTCAATCTTCATTTTTTTTCTGTACATTGTCATCTGAGCATTTGACCAACGAATTAGTGATGGATCCCCGTTATAGTGCTCAAGACATCATAAGATGTGATCTTTGCGAGATTCATGTGGTACAAAGTCATTGTGAGCTCTGTCAAGTCAATTTATGTAAGAGCTGTGTAGGTGAGCATCTTTCTACTTCAACAAAAACACACAGAGTCGTGCCATATAAAGATATTGCCTTGACTCGTAAGTTCCCAAAATGTAAAATGCATTCAAAAATTTGCGAACTTTTCTGTGAGAAATGTAATATTCCTGTCTGTTCATCCTGTCTCACCTCAGGTAAACATAAGGGACACCATATATCAGATATTTTACAAAAACTCAGTACCAAAAGAAAAGACATTGAAAAAGAATTAAAAGAACTTGAAACAATAATTTTCCCAAAATATGAAAAAATTGCCCTAGGCATTAACACAAAAAAGAGCAACTTGGAAACGCACTACAGGAAAGAGACCGCAGCCGTCATCAAACAAGGAGAAAATTTGAACAGAGTAATTGACATCATTGTCAATAAACGGAAATCTGAAATTGATGTGGTCAAAAATATAAACCTGGCTGCCCTAAATAAACAGGAAAACTGTATCACAAAAATTACTTTAGAAGTGCAACAAACTATTGTTTACCTTAAGAAAATTCTTCAATCCAGTGATATCTTCGCACCCTCTAAAATTAAATCCACAAATGTCAAATTCAGACTTTTACCTTTAGAAGTCAATGTCTCATTACCAATCTTCTCTCCCTGGAAGATCAGCACAAAACAGCTAGATCAAATGTTTGGTTCTCTCTCGGTATTTTCAATTTCAAAAGAGGAACATGGTCGCATATTGGACACACCTAATGTTGCATCCTCTCCTACGGCAAAACAACTACCAGTGCTGGAAGAACCAAAAATCATCAGCACAATTTATACTGGGAATAGTCTTCATAGTGTAGCCTGTTTCATTGATGAAGAAATATGGACAAGTGGGAACGGCTGTATCATGAGACTCTACAACCTGCATTGGAACCTTTTGAAATCAATTAACTCCAAGTCAAGGAACAGTCCAGGTGACATAGCAGTGATGAGGAACGGGGCTCTAGTTTATACGGACACAAATGCAAAAACTATCAATGTTGTGACTAAAAAGAAGATAGAAGAACTTATCAGATTCCAAGGATGGAAACCTGATTCTGTCTGTAGTACCTCCTCTGGTGACCTCCTGGTTACTATGGACAGTGATGACGGAGAAAATTCAAAAGTTGTCCGTTACTTTGGATCCACAGAGACACAAACCATTCAGTTTGATGATAAAGGTCACTCTTTCTATTCATATGGTCACAGTAAATATATCTGTGAGAACAGAAATATGGATATTTGCGTGTCTGACTACGGAGCCAGTGCAGTTGTAGTGGTTAATCAGGCAGGAAAACTCCGATTTAGGTACACTGATTCAAATGCATTAAATTTTGCTCCAAGGGGCATAGCAACAGACAGCCAGAGTCAGATCCTGATAGCAGATTGTGAAAATCACTGTATCACTATCCTCAATCAGGATGGAAATCTCCTTTCCTACATCAATAACTGTGATGTATATCTTCCGTTTGGTATATGCATAAACTCCAAAGACAACCTTGTTTTGGCTGAGTTAAGCAGTGGTGTGGTAAAGATAATTAGATACATGTAAAAGTTACATAACGTCGAGAAGTGTTCCTGATCTTTTATGTCAAAATCTAGTTAAAATGATATAATCAAGGTTCTGTAAACTGACTTAATTATGAGTGTAATGTGTTCTTAGAAATGTCAATGCCATTAACAATGAAAGTTATTGATTTTCAAAGAAAAAAAACATACTATTTATAAAGGATAGAATTAAACAACAGAAACCTTAAAATACCATATAGAGCAATTGTTTGCATTTTTGCAAAATATTTTGACTTTGCCTCATGTACTCTTTTAATATTACCACCAAAATGTAACATTACTGGTAATATTCCAATAGGAAGAGATTCATCCTTATAAAATGTTTTTAATTTATAAATGGAGTGTTTACATAATTTGTCATGAATTGATGCCTTTAGTACAAATGTATTTTTGTAGCATGGTAAACATGATACAAACTGTTCATTTATCCTTTACTTTGAATTTACGAGTTTTAAATGTGCATTGAGTTTTATTAGGTAAGACAAAAATTGTATGTCAAGAAAAGCAGTAAGGTTTTATTGCAAAAATTGATTTATATGATATCTAATAGCTTTTGATAAAAGAAAATTTCAAATGTCAACTCGATTTCACAGGAAAAAACCAAAGTCAAAATTATACCAGATTTTAATTGCTTTTTACAAACCGTACCTGTGATAAATTTAAATTATACTTCTTGAAAATGAAATGAAAGGCCTAAGGGAAGGTAAGAAAAAATATCATAAAAGAAGTACATTTTTAGACTTGTACCTATGCCCAATATATAATTTTAATTTACATGGGTTTAAAAAATTGAATCTCTACAGCTTGTTAATGATATGACATCATATGCAGCTTTGTAAAAGCCTCCAAAAGCTTTAGATTGTGTTTAAAAATAAGATAGCGTTGCAATGCTGTATTTGATTTTGATTGATTTGAAAGCTATGTACCTGAAATAGAGGACTATCTCTGCAAAATATTGTATTATATTTGTTATAAAATCACACTATTTCTTAGATCACTCTAGGGTCATTTATTTTTTAAGCATTATTCCTAAATCGAATCCATGCTGTGTATAACATGATCATTATTAACATTTTGTGATAAAAATAAATGCATCATATTCTAGTGTGCACAAAACGTGCTTGGTAAAAGTCAAAGTATTACATGCGCACAAAATACTCGAGAAATTCAACTTACTCTTACTCAATATTTAATCGGTATTGGAATAAAGTCGTCATATATTTTTCCCAAGGACGATTTAGTTAGATAACACCTTCCTAGAGATATCCACAAAATATGTAACATTTATCCGCATTATTTGCCAGAGCCAGCCTTTTTGTTATAAACCATAATCAAATCTCTACCTTTAACATTTTTAATAAAAGGTTTAAAATAAAATTCATTCAAAAGCATAAATTCTTCGTATTTTTAAAAGATGCACAGTGTATGGCGGATGTAGACGTTACATTAGGATCCTCAAGATCACTGAAACCATTTGTAATGCGAATGTCCAAGTTTTCTCCATTCATATTTTGTACGGATTAAATTGACTTTTGTGCATGATAACTCTTCAATAACCAATTATTATAGATATTTTGATTTGATTGGTCAGACGTTTTTATATTTGCCATGATCGGTATCAGTGAGAACCACAGCAAGTAAAGGTGATTTTAATCGCTTTAACATGTTTAACTTCAGGGTATTGCTAATTAAGAAGTAGCTGTCCTAAAGTTTAAAATTACACCATTTTTACCTCAGATTGTTACGATTAGTTGTTTTGTACTTGATTAGATACTTGGTTATATAACGTAACTCATCGATTAGTTTAAAAAAACATTGAGCAACTATGTACAAATATTTAAAGAAGGAGTTTATATTCGCTCGTGTTACCCCCTGGTATATGATGGAAAGATTGGATCAAGTGATTTTGCAAGCAAAGCAATAGGCCTTCATTTAGAACAATTTAAGTGTTTAGAAAAACCTATTCATATGTAATTTGAGCTCCGAATAGAGACAATCAAGACTACTTATCAAATATGTCTGTGCCATTTATATTTAAATGTAGCGCACTGCATAAACCTTTAGGACTTCATGATCTAAAAAAAATTACGTGCACTCCATAGGGTTTTGTTGTAAGTGTTTTCTATAATAAGTTTTTTTAAAGAAGAATTTAATTTTAAAACATAATTTTTGTTTTATTCAAATTCAAAACCTTGAAACTCAATTGCGTCACATCCTACCAGCATGATCCATTCATTACTCAGGCCAGCATCTGCAAGTTTGGTTTTTAATTCCGTCATTTTTTTTCCTGAAAATGAAATGCATCGGGATTAGATCTATGACATCATTGAAACTAGATATATGTAAACACATGAAAACGACATCCATAGTCATATATTATTGATTAAAAACTATGTAATGAGAGAATATTTTTTCTCGAAAGGGATTGATTATTAGCTATTTTTCATTCCCTTGAAATTTTATTAAGTTCGAATTTCACAGCGTTGGTAATGTTTCAAAAGTACCGACAAGCTAGAAATACAGTATAACAGCTCTTTAATGGGAAATGGAAAGAAGAAAAATTTCAATTGCATTCATTTGCCGTAAATGATTCTTACAACACTTTACATCGCTTTGTATAATTTTTTTTTTCATTGAACATTTAAAAATCTCTTAAGGTTCATCGATACTTTGATAAGAGTGATGACTCTTAATAACATAAATGTTTATTGAGTATTGATTCATATATTTGACATGTTGAAGTAGTTTGTTTTTGTCCAAATTTGACCTGCAATCTATGCTATAATAGCTTGTATATTTACATCCACTGAATATTTTCCCCTTTATTTCTTATGAAGACCATTGCCATTTATCAGTGCATTAACAACACTGAGCAAGCCACGTGTTTAGTTTAGTTAACAACAAAAAAAATTACGTAACTCACTTACATGGGTTTTGTATTTTTTTCTGCAAAAGCTGCGACATTAATTCCCCTACTTACAACCAAAGAAAGCATTAAATAATTTAAATTTTACTTACAAAATATATTTCTTTCGGAAAATGATTTACGATCAAGAAACATTTTATATGAACGTGCAAAGTGTTTATGAACCTTAAATACAATATCAGTCCCAAGATTTTTCACGTATTAATGACTGTAATAGGTAGTTTCAAAATTCATTCAAAATCAATATTTCCTGGAATATATGGTATTTTAATAATATAACATCATTTAGTCGAATTTTTTGCTGACGTGTTTTATTCGAGCTGTAAGAATTTTAATTGTTTCTCGTTAAAATGATTTTATTTTTTTTTTTACTGTTTTTAAATTTAAAAAAATAATTCCAAGAACTTTGAACTTTACTGTGAGGATATGGTGATAACGAACAGTGTTCAATCTCAAAGTCCATTAAACAATACAAAATAAGAGCAGAGAAAACACGGACCCGCGAAACATCAGAGATGGGATCAGGTGCCATGGAGAAGTGAGCATCCCCTGTCTACCGGTCACACCCGCCGTGTGCTCCTTGTCATGATCAGGAAATAACGGTAAAATCCGTCATCAATTTAGTGTATAAATAATTGACAAACAATTGTCAATTGATAAACTGTATTTGCTGACAAGGTCATTGTATTGACCATAGAATTTACGAAATGATTATTTTAAACGAGATTGCTGATATTCATGTTTCGTCAACTTGCTTGTCATTAATTAACCTCGTTTTAGAAATTGTTTATACGTAGAGCATACTCTTGCGTATCATTAAACTGAGAAATATTAACTCCATATGCAGGTGATATTGCTGCATAAGTAAGGGAAGTTGACGATAGAAAAGTTAAAGTCATCACGCTTATCATATAGCTTAGTTGTAAGATTACCATTAGTATCTTTTTCAAGTAAAATATCCAAGTATGAAAAAGAAGTGTCGGGCTCTGTGAACAATGTGAAATTCCTGTTTGTTCCTCCCGACTTTCCTCGGGTACACAGAAGGGAAATAAGTATGATTGTTCAGACATTTACAAAAACTCAGCTCAAAAGGAAGAAATATGGAAAAAGAACTGAGAGATCTTGAGACAATAATTTTCCAGAAATATGAAGAAATTGCATCAAGCATAAAAATTAAGAAAGGGAGTGTAGAAGAATACTACAAGAAACTGAAAACAGATGTCACCAAACAAGGAGATGACTGGTACAGATAAATTAGCTTCATTGTCAATAAACAGAAATTAGAAATTGGGGAGATAAAAACTAAACATATGGCTGCAATAAATAAAGAGGAGAACGTTATCAACCACATAAGTGCAAGATAATTGGAAATGAATTTACAATCGTAGGCCTTGAACATCTATTGTAAAAGGGTAATAATAAGTTGAAATATTTACAAGGGCGTAATGTTTTTAATATAATTGTATATATCCTTTCCGTTTGTTCAGCTGAAACCCAATATTGTAGAAAAATAGTATGGTTGTGACCTTCCAGATGAAAAAAAGGAATTATGTTTCCAACATTGGACTTAAAAAAAATCAGGAATTTTCAAATTGGTGCAAACAGAACTTGAAAGGTATTTAATTCACCTGACTTTCACTCAGGTGAACATAACATATCATTCAGAAACATGGAATTAAGGGTAGGGTGGTGGGGATAACTGGGACATGTCCCTCCACACATTTTTAACACATGATTTTCATTTAGTATAAAATGTTTATTGAATCGTTAATTCCTCCTCCATTCATTTCCCTTAACATCTCCATTCTTTCCTCCCTAATATATAAAATTTAAAAATACCCCTCTTACCTGGGAAATAGTAAGACTTTTCTGCACTTAAGTTGTAAGTTTTATTTTTCTTTTCTTTTAATGCCCCCCTTTAAAATCTGTCTTACATGCCTGACAACATATGTTTACTTCCACATCGCATATGCATAATTTAAAAACTCCATATAAAAATACTCTTGTTTATTTTCCATTTTTCTCACTTTAGGATTAGGACATCAGCTAATGTTATCAAGGAAGATAGCATGGATTGTTTCATGAGTTTGTATCAATCATTATAATCATATAATTATTAAAAAAAATATTGCTGTTTTTGATCCACCTTCAAAATATAATATTCTTTAAGCCGCAGGTTCTTAATTATCGTATTGACATTAAAAACATAAAAAAATGAGGGGGGGGGGGGACTAATATGAAAACCATCATAACAAATATCTAGATGACTATTATAATGAATAAACTTAAATTCTAGTGTAGAGTTTTTAAAAATTTTTTTTTTTCATAATTCTTTTGTAAATTGTTCTTCATAACATACTTTTACTTTACCTGTTAAAGTTCGTCGGAAGTTGTAATTAGGCAATATATTCTGTTTTTCTAGCATGGAATACTTGGTAATGAAATTATAGTCAATTATCTTCATATAGTACTTTTATTCTTTAAGATGTACATAAACTTTATTTATATTCCTACGAGACTCTTCCGTGATATCTGATACCGATTTAAGCAATAAATTTTGGATTTCGTCAGACTTTTATCGCTTGGCCAACTTTATTTTCAGATTTACTGATGTATATACTTAATTCTATTATTCATCATTAAAAACTACCTTTCAAAGACGGGAGGTGTAAATGCAATTGCTTAAAGCTTGAAGTAAGTTAAATCTTGAAATACAAATAGATTATATGAATTATGATTTCCTTTTCAAAAAGACAGTAAATTTCCAATCTTACAAATGTGACTGTATAATTATAAACTCCTTTTTTATGTGTTAGATGTATTTTGTGATTTTTTTTTGTTTTGTCATCAACCTACATTGACGATGCTGACATCAAATTGTAGGTTTTTGATCGACGAACGTGGAACAAGTACCAGATTCAGCCCAGCACTTTATGGAGTGTGACACGGAATCCTGTAGGAACTACTCTGAGTTTTTCTGTAATACCTGTCACCAGCGAATCTGTGAACACTGCAAGAGGACCATCCGAAACAAAGAACATGAAATAGTCAAATATAAGGAGAGAAGAAGAAAACGTCCTTCACAGAAATGCTGCATCCATCCTAAGAACGACATAGATGTTTACTGTGATGGCTGCCAGGATCCCACTGTGCCGTTTATGTCTTGATCAGTTTCATATAAACCATACCAACAGTAACTTTGAAATCATTTACAATGACATTTTAACTCAAAGTCAATGGGAACTGACTGAAATCGGCCAAGTAAAGGTCAAAATTTAAAGCCCTTCACCGGCAAACGGTGAGGTGTCTATATGAGTAAAACATTCTCGAGAGGGACGTTAAACGACATACAATCAATCAATTACTTTAAATAAATGTAAATTTTAGATTACAGACCTGCTCAATAAAGTGGCCATTTTTTACACATCTGTATACAATTCATAAAATATGCACATTTATATAGTCAAAAACCTTTCAGAAGAAGAGGAGAAGGAGAGATATTTTTCCAATCTATATGAGAGAGGAGGTGAAATAGAGAAGAGAGTGAGCTAGCCTAAAGCATTACTGTTTGAAACAGGGGAGACACAGGAGGAGATGAAGAAATTCATCACTTAGATTTCCTCCCTGTACGTTTTGAGACTCAGTGACGTGTTGTGTTCATTCGTTTCCTCTTCCCTTTTAGAATTATACAGGAAAATTGAAACAATAAATGTACATCGATGGCTTGAGCAAAAATTACTGTAAAAAATCTGTTTATAAAATCTTAGTAAATTTTGCTTTGAAAACTTTATTTTTTCCCAACTGAAAAAATGTTTAACTGTAAATGAAGACATGTTTGATGATATTCACGATGTCATAGTTTTTTCTCATCAATTATCTTTCTTGATTATGAATTTTGATTCTTCATTGCAAAAGCTACAATGTAAAATTATAGACCTTTAAATTTCTAAAGTACATTAAGAAAAAGATATACAGATACAGAGAAATGTAATTGTGACAATTTTTTTGTATGAACAATATTTAGACAATAGAAAATTATTTAAAGATTAGACTTAGTCATTGGATTTTTATCCTTGATAATCGATTCTCTGCAGAATATGTAATTCTTCCTTTTTCCTGAGTCATCGAATCTACAGAAAAAAGATAGATAATCAAAAGGCAGTTAAATGTGTTTAGGTTAATCAGCACAATGTCATGGTAGGTAGCAGTGTGTATCTTATAAAAATGCTACAATGGAAAAATATCTCCATTGAAAATACACAGTTCATGTATATGTACCTTATTCTCTCCCAATCAAGAACGATTCAACTGAAGTCTTATCAGTATCTTAAGGAATTTTCTCCAATAAAATCAATCAATAAGCTAAAAAAACGGACTCTGAAAACAGAATTCGTTGAATGCTAAACATTAAAATTCATAGTAGAAATTTGACCTGATATGAGATCAATAAATGCATTCTACAATAAAGAAGTGCGGGTATTTAAATCACGTGACCAGAAGACAGGTAAGGACAGATACTAGAACTTGGAAGTAATATTGTAATCGTGGATCCATGACAGATCAAAAGGTGAGATTTGATACATGAAGCTTTATCTTGTTGCAAAGTGCCGTTTAAAATTTAATTCAATATGAAAATGATTTAATTATTGTTCCATTTAAGAATATAACATATAAATACGGATAGCTTGTCTAAAACATATGTCTAATAAAGAATTCGAATTCGAATTAGGTCACTGATAATCTCAAAATCTTTTATTGTGATATGGTCATTCAAAATTAAAGCCATAATCCTTTCAAAAAAAATTATTAAACATTTTTATGAGTTGAAGATTTCTTTTTGTTTGAATCAACAAAGCGGCTTATGTCACGAGAATTTTATCAGTTTTATTGTCCATTTTCTTGAAGATTGCCACTGCGATTTGAGCAAGTAGCTGTATTAACATCAGTAATGGATCCCCGGTATAGTGCTCAAGACATCCTTAGATGTGACCTTTGTGTAACCGATGTAGTACAAAGTCACTGCGAATTTTGTCATGTCAACCTGTGTAATGCCTGTGTAGGACAGCATCTCTCTGATTCAACCAAAAACCATAGAGTCGTACCATATGCAGAAAGAACCGCAGGTCCTAATAATCCAAAATGTTCAAAGCACTCCAAGAACTGTGAACTTTACTGTGAGCAATGTGACCTTCCTGTCTGCTCTATGTGCATCTCCTCAGGTAAACATAAGGGACATCATTTATCAGATGTTTTACAGGATCTCAGCTACAAAATAGAAGACTTGGAAAAAGAATTAAAAGAACTTGAAACTAGAATACGCCCAAAATATGACGAAATTGCAACAGGCATTAAAACCAAGAAAGACAACTTGGAAACATACTACAGGATATTGTCAACAGCTATCACCAAACAAGGGGAAGACTGGCACAGAGAAATTAACATCATTGTCAACAAACAGAAATCTGAAATTGATGAGATGAAAATTAAACATTTAGCTGCTCTTAATAAACAGGAAAAAGAAATTTTACAAATTACTGCAAAAGTAAATCAGTGCATACTTGATCTGAAGAAAATACTGGACTCCAATGAAGTGTCCCTAGACTCTGCCTACAAATCAAGAAATACAGAGTTCAGACGTTTACCTCCAGAAGTTATTGTTTCATTACCAAGTTTCTCCCCTCATCAGATCAACACAGAACAGATCCATCAAATGTTTGGTTCTCTGTCAGCATTATCCATTACAACAGAAGAATGCCGTTACACAATCAAATCACTGCTTGATGAACTAGAGCTCATCACTATTTTAGGCACTGGGTATGAATTTCTATACAGTGTTACCAGTCTGAGTGATGAGGAAATCTGGACACGTGGAGTAGACAAAACCATGAAACTTTACAACCTCAAAGGTAAACTACTTAAGTCAATCAAAACCAAGTCTGGCAGCAAACCATGTGACATAACAGTGTCAAGGAGTGGCGATCTAGTTTATACTGACCCTGATACAAGAACTGTAAACATAGTGAAGAATAAACAGATACAGGAAGTGATCCGACTAGAGGGGTGGATACCTTACTATATTTGTAGTACCTTCTCTGGTGACCTCCTGGTTACCATGGACAGTGAAGATAAAGAACAATCTAAAGTTGTTCGTTACTCTGGATCCACAATGAAACAAACCATTCAGTTTGATAGTGTAGGTAAACCCCTGTATTCATCTAATATCTATGCTAAATACATCAGTGAGAACAGAAACCTAGATATCTGTGTGGCTGACAATGAAGCAAGAGCAGTAGTTGTGGTTAATCAGGCAGGAAAACTCCGATTTAGATACACTGGTCATCCCTCTACTACCACGGGATCATTTAGTCCACGCGGCATCACAACAGACAGCCAGAGTCAAATCCTGATAGCAGACTGGGACAACCACTGCATCCACATCCTAGATCAGGACGGACAGTTCCTCCGTTACATTGATAACTGTGATCTACAACTTCCATGGGGGATATGTGTAGACACAAGAGACAACCTCTTTGTGGCTGAGTATAACAGTGGTAAAGTGAAGAAAATCAGATACATGTAAATATTGCATTATGTCAATATAAGATTGTGAATTACATTTCGTTATTCACTAAGAGTTAAAAGTCGTCTGATTTAGGACTACTCAAATCAATCTAAAAGTGTATACACATACCTTACACAATGTTTTGAATATCTATTGATTTAAAAAGAAAGATAGTTACTAGTACATGTGCTATCAAATGTATTGATATCTGGATAATGCTAAATGCATTTGATGCACTCAAGGTATAAACGAATACAAATAGATTTTCAGTATTTGTAGACGAAATGTATTTCTTACATTCTTTTAACAGTTGATGAAAGTTTCACAGAGGTATGGCTTTTACGTTTCATAAGTAAGGACAAAGGCAACAACATCTGGCTTCGCTGTCGCTAAATAATTTTCCCTCATATAACGCTGAACCGTCGTTAGAAGGTGCCTTGAAAGGTTTTCAATCAATCATGACGATAAAGTTAACGCATAACACAGACACGTCAATATCGGCTTATTCGTCCTGCCACATGTTTAATAGCCACTGTACTATCACAAAACTGCTATTAATAGAGTAGCTTATTATTGCACTTACTATAACATTGAGAAAACCGATTGCGCGATTTGGATCTTTAAGCTGGTAAACTTTTCATTGGGGTTCCTCTCACTGGCGCATGCACACGTAATTTGCCTAATTTTTTAGGCGTGCTTAACTCCGGTCCACTGAAGCCTTGGTTTATCAAGACTTTCTAGCCAACAATCACAGTTACCGATTCGACTAGTCTCCGTAAAATCCATCTTTTTCTTATTCAGCCGCACTGGGACTGAGTGGAAGATAGGGTTCGAAATGCCGAAGATGGCCCCTTTCAACTGATGGATATCTTGAAATTGTTATCCATCAGTTTCTTTGATATCTTTTTGGATTTAGATAACAGTTATCAATACAGATAGAGATTGCCGGATATTCCGTAAGTCTGCGATTTAAAAAGAATGCTCCTATGCCAAACTTCATTGAAAGCGCTCGATAGGCCGTAAAAACTTAAAACAAACTTTACTTTTAATACCTTTTATTAAACTGTGGTATGTGGATACTCAAAAGAACTTTTAGACAGTTTGAAATTAAATGATTTTACCAAAATCTACAATTTAAAAACTTACGAATTTATAACTTCATACACAGCCATTCCCCACGATAAATTTTAAGTCTAGGCGTTTTTATATCATTGACAGCTCCTTTTACGATAAAAAATGGAACTCGTAGATTTACTTACCTGGTCATTGGTAATTTGCAAAATTATTTTGTTAAAACATATTCTGATTGCACACAGAGGTACTCTGAAGTTGACATCAAAGAGATGCTTGAGTTTCTGATTGACAATATCTATGTTATTTTTGGAGACCAGGTCTTACAACAATCTAATGGAATCCCCATTGGTACCAATTGCGCTCTGTTATAAGCAGATCTATTCTTATATTCATATGAAGCAGAATTTGGCAAAAATCTTATGCGTGAAAAGAAGAAAACACTTGTTGTGTCCTAAAACTCGACATTTAGATAAATCGACGACGTATTGTCAATTAACAATGATTATTTTCAGTCCTACGTCGATACGATATATCCTAGTGAGCTTGAGATAAAAGATATCACATAGTCTGACTCAACTGTTTCATACTTGTGTAGCATTTCGGAAATTTAAATTGTAATTTTTTGGTTCGGTGATTAGGATGTGAACGTAAACATCCGCCTTTAAAAGTATATAAAACCTGAATCGCAGTATCAAGCGTTCATTCCAGTGTAAAGCAGTGGAGAGTACAAGACGTGTGTGAACGGACAGCGATTAAGTAAGTGGGACTATAACGTCAGCTTACAGAGGAAGTCGACCTTATAAAGTAAAGGTATAGACTACAAGAATAGTAATAAATAAAGGCTGTTGTGTTTTTCGAGTGGCAAGCCACTCAGATGCTTACCAGCAACGGAGGTTAGCCACCACACTTGTAATAAGGCTGCAGTACAAGCGTCAGTCCGAGCTTGGCCAGTGTAAGGGATAGCCTACTCACTGTCATTTGCTTAATTATTTGTAATTATTTGATTTACTGTTAAATATTAACGTGCTTATTAACCTAGATAAGGTTGGCCATTTATTTGCATATTTTGCAGGCCTTTGTAATCAATCATTTGTCAATCATTTATTAAGAAATATTATATCATATTGGAAATCATCCCCCAAATCCTTGAATCGACAAGGTACGACCCCCGACTGCTATTATCATTCCGCTTGACACGTTACACTTAGATATTTTTTCTTAAAACATTAACGGTAATCTAACAACCAAGGTATATGATAATGCGATGACTTTAGCTTTTCTATCGTCTATTCTAACTTCCCTTTCTTATGCATCAATATACCTTCATCACCTGCATACGGAGTGTATATATTTCACTTGATTCGATACGCAAAAGCCTGGTCTAAGTATGATTAAATTATTGACAAGCAAGTCGATGAATCAAGAATATCAACCTTCCCGTTTAAAGTCATCATTTCGTAAGTTTTATGGTCAATACAATGAACTTTTATTAAGTCTAATGCCGACTTACATTTTTATACTGATTGTCAGTCATTTATTTATACACTGAATTGACGACGGATTTTTTCCGTTATTTCCTGATCATGACAAAAAGCACATGGAGGGTTTGACAAATCAGCAGAGGATGCTCACTCCTCCATGGCACCTGATCCCACCTCTGACGTTTTGGAGGGCCGTGTTTGCTCGGCTCCAATTTTGTATTGTTTTATGGACTTTGATATTGAATACTGCTCGTTATCTCCATATACTTTCAATAATCGTCAAATAGTTCAGTGTCAGTTAAAAAAACTAAAAACCTGCGTGATAATAGTAGAGCAAATTATTTGTTTGTGAATGGGTTTACATACATTTTAAAAATATTATTCTTTCTATACTTTAACGAACGCAGTTCAACAGAAAACTTGTCTGTATGTCGTTATAACAGATTGATCATCTACTTGAAATAAGGGAGAAAATAAGCTAATTTCCAAGAAATTTGGAAGGACTTTTTCGTTGCAAAGATCTGTTAGATAATATACCAAGTGGTTTTAAATTAATAATTTAAAGTTGTTGATTTCAACAGTTGCTACGTATGCAATCTAGTGCGACATCTTTGTTAATTGAAAGTGTGGATTAAAATAATAAACTCCTGCTTTTAAATGACATAATAACTGATTGTTAAGGAGGTCTTTTTAAAATATACATTCTGCTACACTAATCTAGAAACAAAATCGCTTTAATGATTAAGATATTCAGCAGCACTTCTCGCAGGCATTGAATTGTACTATATTTTTTTTCAAATACTTACAAACTTCGCTTTTTTTTTCAAATGTTATGCATTGCAACCAGTATATTTAAATAACAAAATGCCTTTGCAGCTATTGCAGAAAAAAAACATAACCTGTGTAAGAGTGTTTTGTATTTTTTTTTAACTGCAATTGTTACAGCGTTTATTTCCATAGCAACAAAGAAAGCAAGTTATTGTTTAGATTTACAAATGTATCAAAAATCATTCAAATTAAGCATTTAGAAATTGTTTAGTTTTCATAATAGATAAAGGGAAAATATTCAGTGGATGTAAATATTACATGATTTAAAAACAAATCTTGCGAATAATATTTAAAGGGACTTGAACACAGGTTCATCTGATTTTTTAAAAACCTATTTTATTGTTTGCAATTCCTTACTAGGCTAATTCTACTAATCAGCAGAAATAAGAACATCATTTGTTTATTTTAAACTTAGAACTTAAAACCCTTCATAATGTAAACAAGGCTTGTGCCTTGGTTTTGTTTATATTGATAAAATATCATATTTACAATGAAATGAAATTCAGCAAATCACTAGACTGTCTAATTGTATTTTCATGCCAACCAAGTATTAATGAATTATATCTAGCCAGAGTCCGAGCTTGTTTTACGAAAATTAGACACAATACCCATATTGTGTGAAAAGGTCATTTATTCACAAAAGTACTCATCTCATAATATTGAATATTATATAATAGGCATTCAGAATAATACATCATATGATATGAATGAATAAATGACATAGATTCGCAAAGGTGGGGATAAATATGTTGCTAGCATAGAACAAAAGCATCTAGAGTTTCTGACAGAAAATGTGAGAGGTAAGTGGGCGGGATTTAAATCGTCCTTGCAGTGCGCAGCCCAATCAAGGAATGCCGCAAACGATTCAGACCCTTGGAAAATCCCGGGGCGACACATATTCAAAGACCAATTAAAAGCCCGCATTCCGAGGTATGCAGAATGATGCAGAGTTAACTGCGGCTAACAGCTAAGATTTACTCGCATTGAGTCATGTTTCATTTCCGGTATTAGATTAAGCGTAAACTCTAGATGCTTGAATTGAATAACAATATGACAAATACAAAATAAAATACATATATCTAAACTTGTTGCCATAAACTATTTTTATTTTCCCATAAAATTAATTTTATGCCAACCAAGAATTAATGAATTATATCCAGCCAGAGTCCGAGCTTGTTTTGCGAAAATTAGACACAATACCCATATTGTGTGAAAAGGTCATTTATTCACAAAAGTACTTATCTCATAATATTGAATATCATATAATAGGCATTTAGAAAAATACATCATATGATATGATTGAATAAATGACATAGATTCGCAAAGGTGGGGATAAATACGAGTACATGTATGTTGCCACCCATCACCTCTGAAAGAGGGGATCCCCCACCCGAGGACTTTGGCAGATATGACAAGTCAGATATTTAAAAAAAAATTAAAATAATAATCTAGCTAAAAGGAAATTATACACATATATTGATATGAAGAATAATATCAGCGCTAACACCTTGCTTAACAAATAAAACATTATCTTAATTAACCGTTACGGCTCAAAATGCATAAATGAAGATTAATCGGAGACAACCCTTGAAACATATCAATTTAATTAGTTAGAGGCAATCTTTAATGTTACTGAAAAGGTACACACACCAATAAGTATA